GCATAAAAAGGGTTGGATGTTCATTAAAGGAGGTGGATGAAGAGTTTTGCCCCATGGAACACGAGGACATTGACTCAGCACTTTCAGGCTCCAAGTGCCTGTGTGCTCACCAAGGGAGGGCAGCAAGCACAGATGCACTTGGTGGCTCTGAAGCCACAGAGGATATAGAAGAATTGAAACAAAGAGTGAAGAATATGCAATGTGAGCTTGAAAAGTACAAAAAGTTCCTGTTGCAGCTGCAGAGCTCTGAGCAGCCCTTGTTCAGTGGTGTTTGCAATGGGGTTGTGAGGGATGCAGCCCTGCCTGGGGAAGAGTTTTTCACACAAGCCATGGAGGGAATCCAAACATCCTCTGGTGTCCATCAGCTGGATTAYGAGATCCACACCAAAAACAGGGATTCTGAGTCTTTGAAAGCCCCTGAGGCATGGGCAGCACAGCACCTTAAGGAGCTACTGTTGGCCAATGAGGCAGAACTGGACAAARAGCAGGTTGTGAATATGTGTCTGGATGAATTGTATCCCCTTCAGAACACTGTGAGAGCAGCATCACCGTCCAAGTGAGTAAAACTCTGCTGTTTGAGGCTCCCTTTTGTGAACAGCAATACCAAATGGCATAGGAAGGTGATATGAGGATGATTTTATTCACAAGGTGATTGTTTTTAYAGGAAAGGCTGAATTTCACTAACTCTGACATAAAGTACTTGAAACATTTTGTTAAAAGACTCCAAAAGTACAACACTGATAAATTCCTGTCATCATCTGTAGCTGCCCTGTGCCACACACCTCTGTCCCTCCCCCACCTCAGGCCCAGAGCTCTCTTTGCTGTAGGACATYCTCTCTTGAGCCAGGGCAGATCTCACCTCTGTCACCAAAGCACCACAGCTCTGCATCCCTCAGGGTGTTCTCAGGTGTAAGAACATGGAACACCCCATTTAAAACAGAAATGTTTCCATGGGCAGTGGGCTGGCAGATTCCTTCTGGCCCTTCTGTTTGTGTGCCCAGACCTGATGGGTAAAACAAGATGTTCAYGCTCTAGTTCTGATTTATTTTGCAGTTGAGTGCGGTAATGCTTCCTGTGAAGGCTGTGAGAGGAGATAAATAYAGAAATTAATGAATGAAATTTTGTAACATAAGCTCATAAACTGGAAAATCATTTAGGGGAGGCTGGAAAGTATCAGTTTTGTTTTTTGTATGAGACTTGGGGCAGCATTTTGGCTGCATAGGTACAAATTGCAAACATAGGGTGAGGGATCATGAAAGTGAGACTTTTTTAACATCCACCCCCTTTTCTCCCTTTTTAATATTGTTTTTGTCCTGAGGGCTTGTGTAATACCAGAAATTGTAGCAAAGAAAGGGATTCAGCCTTGTGCCTTTCTTCCAAATGCTTGGGTAGGAATATTTGGAGACACTGAGACTGTTGTGTATCTCTGAGCCTTACATTGTAAAATACAGCCGTGTTACAGTGCCCATGTAAATTTACATACCTTGAAAATACACCTCATCCATTTTACAAAAGAAGGTCTAACTGTAAATTAAGGAATGAGGCCCTGTGGATCGCTGTGAGGTTTTTATGGCCACAGTCTAGGACACTGTCATGAGTCACAAGTGACAGACCCCAAAGTGAGTTATGCATCTCTTCCTATACAAATGACAGTAAAAATGCTATAACAACCCACACCACCATAGATTTTGTTTGATTCCCTGCATCTTTTAACATCCTCTTTCTTTTTCTTCCCACTAATGGATGATTCTGGTGAAGGAACTGTGGTACAGACTGTGGCAGTATAAAGGGGATGTCTACATTTGCGAGTGTAAATTCAGTAAATAAATTCAATTGATCTGAGTAGAAATTTATGTCCTGGCTTGTGGAGCATAGAAGTTTGGGCACTACTGTGGCTGTCATTGTCTCTGGCTATAAACATGCAGAGTTGTGCAGAATTTTCAGACTGGGTGAAACCATCAGTTCAGAAAGTCCAAAATTRTGGTTTTGGCAAGAAATACATGAAGTTTCAGCAAAGGGGCAGTTTTCTGCTTCCATAGCAGAAAAACAAAAAAACAAACAAAAAAACCCACAAAGCACCAAAAAAACAAACAAAAATCCACCCAATCAGTCAGGAAAAAATGTGTCTTCTTAAAAATTCTTTTGATACATTCACTCTTTTTTTGTTTAATTTGGCACCTTTGCTGCCATCCATGTTCTTTCCAAGTAGACCATCAAGTTATTCCATTAGTTTTGGGCCATTTTATAAATGAAGCAGTTAAGTGAAGGAGAATAACCCATAAATACCAAACTCAACASTCAGAGACAATACATCTCTCATTGTGGCTGTTAAAAGCATTTAAAAAGCAAATTGATCCGCATAAAATTATAGTTTCGGAATATAAGTCTAATTCCCTTTTTATTTATATTTAAATGTCATTTATGGCCAGAAAATTGCTTTACAGCTAATTTCATTTTCTCAGCTACGATTCATTAGTTCATTCCCAAGCTCGGGAGCTGTCCTTCCAATGCCAGCAAATCAAGGAGATCCGCTGTGCCTGCCTCACCTACCACGAGCAYCTCACCAACCTGGTCAAGGCCTTTGAGGAGCTGCTCCAGGCCAGTGATGTCGATTATTACGTGGCTGAAAGCTTCCGTGAGCAGCTGAACCAAAGTGTGCTGATGTTTGASAAGCTGGAAATGAAATTCCTCTACGGTGAGCAGAAATATTTTGTGTTTGTTGTCAGCTTGATGAACCTGGAAATGGGGAAGGGTTTTGTTTGCTTGTTGGTGGAAAGGAGAGCTTTACTTGCTGTTGGTTGTTTGGAGATGTCATGGAAGGTAAAGTTTTTGTGCTCCCAACAAGAACCACAGAATTGGAAGGGATCTCTGGAGATCATCCAGGGCCACCTGGAGCAGGTGACACAGGAACGTGTCCAGGTGGGTTTAGAATGTCTCCAGAGACTCCACACCCTCCTGGGCACCTGTTCCACCCTCAACATAAAGAAGTTCTTCCTATGTTGAGGTGGAACTTCTTGTGTTTTAATTTATTGCTCCTTGATTGGGTTTTGCTTTTGTAGCTATACTTTTATTGACACTTGCTATTTGGAGTTATCTCAACACAAGCCTATTTTAACTGTCCAAAACATACTAGTTACATAAAAGTTTTGTTACTTTTAATAGCTTTCCTGTTTCAGGAGACAGCCCAGCTGACTCTGTTGAAGACACTTTGAGTTAGTGCTGGGCTYGGCAGTTGTAGGACAACACTTGGACTCAATGATCTGAGAGGTCTTTTCCAACCTAAATTATTCTACAGTTTTCCTAAGGGACCTGCATCTTGCTGCCTGCTAGTCTGGCTGGTGGAAAAATGTACACTGACATTCATAAGAGAGCTAAAATGCCACCATGTTTTGGAAAATGAGTATCACAATTGCTATTTATCACTTGAAGGAAGAGTATAACTTTGTATTGCATTCAGTCTGTAGTTTGAAGAAAGTTAGCAGGAAAATGATGGAAAAGGGAGGCTGTTGTAAGTAATAAAAAAAAGCTAAAAGACCTTTTCCTGGCATCACAAGTATTGCTCTTGCTGACCCAAACACCCAGCAATCCTTCAGAGGTGTCAGCTGCAGGAATGACATCTCCAGCAAAACACGTGAGGTGCCTGAAATAGGGACCTGACCCCCACATCCTCCTGGAATTGGCTCTGGGAGCTGCCTTTGTTCAGYCCCATTTGGGGCCCAGCCATAGCATGGTCTGTGTTGTGCCTTTCATTACAGATCGTGGCAGRATGTTGCAGTTTTGATTGCTCATATAAAGCAGCTGTATATGAGAAAAAGGTATTACAGCCTTGTGTCATAGCAGGGTAATAAAAGATTGAGTGTATTCAACGATTTCGGTGGCTACAGAGATTCCTTGCATTGCAAATGAGAAGACTGGAGTGAATAAACATTAAATGCCTTTAAACCAACAGATGGTATCCTATATACTATGAAAAGTCACTGACAACCCCGACAATTCAATATATCTAACACAATGGTGTTGCATTGAATCACACATTAAAGCAAAATGATGTTTGTAGGGTTGTAAAGAACATCCAGTGTACTAAGAATTGACTGTAAAGAAGCAGCATAAACAGCCGTCTGTCTCTGCATTTCCATCCTGACCTTCAGTTCATTCCCCTGAAATTTCAGCTGTGCAAYTCTTCCCTGCCGCTTTTGCTTAATTGCACAAAAATTTTCAAGTACGAGGAGCCAAGGTGACACCGTGAAACTTTTATTTCCTTATTCAAATTGGTGTCTGAGTCCAGGTCTCTTGCACTGAATTGTGCCTGTGCTCACACACAATTCCACAGAGAATGTTGCAGGCAAAATCCTGTGTGTGCCTCTTTATTAAGGATGACTGGTTAGCCTGWCTCCAAAACAAGCACAAAAAATCCAAGTGCAGCGGAATTGTTTTTATATAAATGTTACTGAAGAAGTAACAACATGTGCCCTTAATCCTTTTGTCATATAGCACAATTATTTCRAATTTGTATGCTAATTAAAACACCAAAGCTGTAAAATCTGACACCTGTGGTCTCTAATAATTTTTTTTGTGAGTTCTAGAGCAAGCTATTGCTTTGTTGCTGGGCTATAAATAGCTTTGCTCATCTACAGCATTTGACACTAAYACACAGTGTGTTAGTATCTGTTGACTTCTTTAATTTCTCGTTAATTTACCATTCTGTATATTTAAATAGAGTAAGATGGAGGGGAAAAAATGTAATTCTCAGTATGAGTTTTTAATCAGCTGTTTCTACTTTGCAGGAGAATCRATAGGTACAGAAGTCACCATACTTTATGAATTAGCTCAAAGGTAAGAGTGCAAGCATGTATGTTTTGTAGCATGTTTGTAGCATGTTTTGCTGTTTGGTAGGGCTCTGTTTATTGATATCCATTTTGTTAATAAAATACCCACTAAAAACAAACCAAGGCTTTTTTCCCCTCTTCTCAGCAWGCAGCTGAGATATTGAAAGAGAAACATAGTGCAAGTCCATAATCCACTGTGGTGCACACTCAGACATCATCCAAGAGGGACAGTCCCTCCCTGTGTGTCCCCACACCCCTGGGGCTGGCTCAGGAAGGGCATTCTCAGAGCACCCTGATGCTGAAGGTGAAGAGAGCAGGTGTTGTTGTGCTGCACATGTTGGTTTTATGCCAACCTGGGATTCTTCTGTGCTACAGAAACCTTCAGCTGCCTGTTCAAGGCAGCTTGAGGTGCCCTGGACACCAAGGTGACTGCCTGGTGCAGGAAAATAAAAGCAGGCTGGAGGCTCAGTGATTATTCCTGCTGACTTCAGTGATCTCTGAATTCCAGTCTTGATACAGCCTCTGATGTGTAGTGGTTTGCCATGCTCTGTCACATAAATTTACCTGTAAATTGGTGTAAATTTGGCACCCTCTGTGCTTTCCAAAGTCATGAAATAACTTTTGTATTTTAAACCGTTTTGTTTGGCCCAAAAGGGATAATGAGAAGAATGCCAGCATGTGCCAGCATCTGCAGGATGAGTCTCCTGTGCCATCTGCTCTTCATAGCTTGTCTGACTTTGATTTGTCAGAGAAGTCTCCTCTTGGCTCACCTGAGCACAGGCGTGACCWGGAAGGCCAGCCCAGCACACTGCCACTGCTGCCAAGCAAATTTCCTCCAGGTAAGCTTTTCCCCACTGAAGATTGGCTGGATATTGGGAAAAGCTGATAAATAACACACAAGGGAACTAATTAAGAAATAATGAAGAATTTTTGTCTGCCTGAGCTTTCCAGTTCTTTGCATAATCATTGCAATTTCAGTGCTGAGGCACAGAGAGATGGCAAAGATCTGAATGCCCCTGTTTGAGGCAGTATAAAGTGTGATASTTTATGTTCTTGTTGTTTTAGGCTCCCAGCTCTTACAGTGCTCCAGACACTCTTTAAATAGACAAGTTATAAGGGGAAAATAGGCAATTGTCAAGAGATTATTATGTGGAAAAGGAGAGATTTTCCAATTTTTTAGAAGCTAGTGTTGTGTTTCCTTGAGAATTGTTAAGTGCTGCATAATTAATAAGTGGTGTCATGTTTGACCTGGATAGTTCCACTAAACACAAGTGATGCTTGCAGAACTTTATCGGCAGCAATGAAAATTTAATAGCTGAGCTGGCACATCCTGTTCAGGGAGAAATATTGCAGAGTAAACCAGGAGTGTGTGACATGGATAAACTGACACATCACACAGTGACAGGTAGAACAGATCAGCTCCCGGGTAAAGATGAAACTTGCAGCCAATGGAAGAAAAATTGTAGAATGGCAAAGCAAGAAGGAAAAGGTACAGTAATGAAACTTGATACGACAGATTTATTTATTGTGGAGTGCRTTGTGTAAGTCAAAGTCAGATTTCTCTCTGAGTTACTCTGGGAGCTTCCTATTGTTGTAAGGAAAAATGTGTGCTGGTGATATGTCGAGCCAGGATGTGGAGCTGCACTGCAGAGCTTTGGATTCATTCCTCAGTACAGGAAATGTTTCAGGAGATAAAATTGTTATCTGTTCCACTTTTGTAGGAAGAAGATATTTGAAGAGCATTAAAACTCTGGACCATTGTTTGAGTTAGAATGTAGGGTAGGAGTTGTCACTGAATGCATGGTTTGAGCACTGTGCAGGAAAAGASCATTGTGGAGTCAGATATTTAATACCTGCCATTTTTAACAGCTCTGTGTCATCTTTTAGGATTAACACCCATTAGATTTGACAGGAGTACAGAGTGTAAAAGAATACAATCATCTGCTCTAAATAAGAAGTGGYCTCTTGCTTTATTTAGAATTATTAATGGAACATCTGCAAGAAATTAGAATCCTGAGACAACGTTTAGAATACTCCATAAAAACTAATGAGAGACTGAGGAAGCAGCTTGAGAGACAAGTAACAGACAAGGAACTAGATCAAGGTAAGAATTCATTWAATGAGAAACTGAATCCATCTTCTCTGCTGGAGAGCCTGAGGGATCAAATGCCACTGGAAATATCTTGTGTGCTTTTTTGAATAACCTCACCCCTTCTAGTTGGAGAATGAAGTGCTTTTCTCTTGTGTCCTGCTGCATCTTGAGCTCTGTCAGTAGACACAGCTTTCCCACAGTTCTGTGGAGTGCCAGAAATGCAGGTCTGATGTGCCTTTCCTCGAGTCCATTGCTGGAAGTGTACCCAGTGCTGAGCACAAACCTTTCATGGGATACAAGGGCACCACAGAGCCTCAAACCTGTACTTGCCCAGTGTTCAGACAACAGCTGTATATGGCACTTGATGATGCTGTGGTTGAATACTGAAATTGCAAATTACTGAAGGATCCTTCTAGTTTTCTTACCAGCTAACAGCCTGGTTTTTTTCCTATTTTTTCCTTTTTATTTGGGCTATCATTATTATTGCAATGTTCTTGTATTTTAGGATGTCACCCTTTTTGAATTCTGTGCCATGTCCAGCCAGGGCCATTGCAGGAGATGAAGCCCATTTCATCAACATGATTTCAATAGGACCTAGTATAAAAGAGAAGGAGATGCTTTGCTCTAAATTATGCTGCTGTTGATCCAAAGTAGGAATTGTGTGGAATTAGCTTTCCTGCTAACAGGGCTGCTGGAGGTGCCTTCTCTGGAATTCTGTAAAGTGGCTCCTGTACAGCCAGCCTGTGTTTACACAGAGGGGCAAAATACCAGTGAGACAGAGCTGAGGCCATGGTGTCCWGCCTGCCACTGGAATTGATTTCTGGGATGAATATGTCCCAGACAAAATGCCATGGTGAGGTCAATTATGAGAAATACCCAACAACTGATGGGAATTTTAACAGAGTTGGTTTTCATTCCAAACTCTGATATAAAGCAGTGGATGAAAGCCACTAATAACAGTTACACAGATTTGGAGCCACTGCTCTCTTGCTGGTGTTCAGCATRTCTGAAATCAGTCTCTGAGGTGAGTTTGAAACTTTTCACAGGTAGCCAGCTTTCACTAAGGATGCTTTTGGAGCACCTTTTGAAGCCCCCCTTCCTTGTGCTTCCCTTCACTTTGCTTCACTCTCCTTCCCACCTTTTCCCCCATAGGACAGTTGATTAATATGCAATATTACTCAGCCTGGAAGCAGGTGATAAATACAGACATGCTTTCCTTTTCACCAGTTTCACTGGTATTGACATTAGATTCATTATGTTTTACATCATCCCCATGATCCATTTCTGTTGTTGTTTAAATGGAGGCAACCTGCACATGGCAGTTTGCTTTCAGGGATAATTTACAGTGATGGAAAGGTGGATAAAAAGCATCCATTTCATTCATGAAGTATTTACGCTGCTGGAAAGGCATTCTGTGCTCGTGAAATAACCACACTGAAACACTTCCAACTCTTTTACAGCTTCATAAAGATTCTGGCAAGGGCATCCATTAATGCAGTGAAAGTATATTTTCTTTATAAACTGTCTTATGCCTTCCATCTGTCTTCTTGTTGCCTTAGCACATCTACCAATGCGTGCAGGAGAAATTTGRAAAAGTAAAGGAAAAAAGCAACTACCTGTTAGAACAGATTCTTTCTGACACTGTGTTCTTTCAGTGCTTGTTTCTCTCTGTATCAAAGATCTCTTTCATGCTATCASATATGCACATGCTYCTTTAGTAAAGATGYTCCTTTTTCTTGATAGAGGRGCTTTGTTCAACTTTTAGTGTAWAAAGAAGTTMCTAARTGAAGCTGAGRGGATTCAGAAGGGYGTGTGGGAATGGYSTTAAGCTGAAGGAGAGCAGGTTTAGATTGGATATTGGGGAGAAATCCTTCCCTGTGAGGGTGGRSAGGCCCTGGCAMAGAGAAGCTGTGGCTGCCCCTGGATCCCTGGCAGTGCCCAAGGCCAGGCTGGACAGGGCTTGGAGCATCCTGGGACAGTGGGAGRTGTCCCTGCCATGGGAGGGGATTGGAACTAATTGAACATTAAGGTCCCTTCCAGCCCAAACCATTCTGTGACTTGAATTCAACATTTTTGCTTTGAACTGAATGWCCTTAGTGTGTTCTGCTTTAAAACACAGGGCCAAGTTGTAACACAGTTAATTGTTGGTGGCAGCCTGCTAAATTCATGATGTTGAATTGTTTGTTCAACAAAAGTTATTGCACAGATTTATTCTTGTCTGATAAATATTGTATGGATGTATACACACACATCTGCCCACTGTTTCTGCCGTGTTATTTTTAATATTTAGATTCTTTAAGTATTTAAATGCCTCTGGGCTTCCAGTATCCTATAAATGACTCAAGTGCTGGTAATGACTACATCATTCCTGTAGAGCTGAGGCTTGCAGTGCAAGTAGAACTAAAATAATTGCTRCAATCATTTCAAATGGTAGACTTCAAAATAAAATCAAAGGTTTAATTTTGAGTGTCTTAGGTTTCAAATGTTATTAACAGCAGTTAACATTAAAGGGGGTTTTGTTTGCTTCTTTTAACCCATACATAGCTGATGTTTCTGCTCAGACTTCAGTTTTTGAATGCCTTTATTTTGCTTTACCTGGCAGTGAATATTTCCTTCCTCTTTGGTGTGATTTTCAATAGTGCCTTTCTTTCAGCCTTTGTTTCCTTTGAAACCTTCAAGGTATGCTTCCTTAGCACTCACTTTTTCAGCACAAAACAGAATGAAAACTCAAGTGTATTGCAATTGTGGGCCCTGATGCTCCACTTTCCTCTGGTTAGGTGGACCTTTGCCTCTGTGGAGAGAGTAATTGATGTCAGCAGGGCTCTGCACAGAAGTAGTAGTCTCAATAGTGGGTCAAATTGCAGGATTGTGGCCCTATTACCACTGGCTCCACATTATCCCTTATTATGTAAGATAACTAATAGTTATATTCTAAAGCCTTTCAGGGGAACTGCGATAGCACAACTTTTCAAATAGGATAAAGCTGGGTGATGGGCAATAAATTAAATTAGAATCAAGATGAGACCATCCATTGCCACTTCAAGTTGGATTGCTTTGTTGCAGTCTGAAAGGAAAAAGCCTTTTGAGTTCACATAGCTGCCTCAACTCTTTAACATATAGATAGTAAAATGCCATTAGTGCCASCCTTCCAGAGCCTTTGAGTCTTTCAGCACTGACAAGAGGTTTGTATCATGGCACACTACATCCCAGTTAGGTAGTGGGTAAAAGCTTCAATTGGGATTACAATGAAATGAGATTACTCAGAGGAAGTGCAGCACATCAAATTGAATTGAACTGCCAGAGCTGAAAGGCATCCTCCTCATACATTCAGCTAATTTTTTTGCCAGCTGGTTATTTCTCTATTAACCAAATAGTTGACACTCATGTACTTATCTCAGGCTTTAAAGYGGGCCAGATACTGGGATAACCAATGAACTGAAAAACACTTTTAATTCTGGTGGGTCCTGAAGTGTTTTACTGACTATGAGAAGGTTACAAAGGGCAATAACAATTACTTGACTTGCATTTCAGAGGCAGGACCTTGAGAGTGGGCTGTGGCACTTGGCAGGCTGTGCTGAACCAGTGCACATCACTGGGGGATGAGCAGCATGAGCACAGTGCATTGAGGATTGTCTGGGCTGGAGTTTGTCTGGCTGAGTACAGGATTTAACACTCAGATTCACTTGGCCAGTACAGGAAGATCCTCAGAGCAGGATTCATCACCCTGATGTTTGTCAGAGTCAGGCATTTAATGTGTGCCAGGCACCCAGAGCTTCTTGTTGAGACCCTGGAGGGAAGCTGAGCCTTTGGAGTGCAGGAGATCTCATTCTCAGAAATGTTTGGAGGGAAGCTGAGCCTTTGGAGTGCAGGAGATCTCATTCTCAGAAATGTTTGGAGGAAGCTCAGCCCTTGGAGTGCAGGAGATCTCATCCTCAGAGATGTGAGGAAAGGAGACACTGGCTGACCTGAGCTCTGCAGGGACCTGCTCCTCCCCAGGGCTGCTGATGGTGCATCAAGATGACTCAGTTATCTAAATTTTAGAAACACAGATTTAAAAGGGATAAACTTTCATCCCTGTGATCATGAATGGGCTCTCAGTTTGTAATCAGAGGCAAAGGCAGTGACTCCAGCCTTGTGCTCGTGCCTGTGTGGAGCAGATCTATCCCAGACTATTTTCTGTACTCCCTGCATTAACCCCTGTGGATTAGCTGGTGGAATCTTGTTGTTCTCTCACTAAATACAATGGACTGTGAACAGAGTAAGGCTGAAATACATGGTAAACCCTCCTAACATTTTCTTTTCAAATCATGGCAATGTCACAAGATACTCCTGCATTTTGTCCTGTTGGGATTTTAGCTGATAGGTGAAGACTGCCAGGGATAATTCTGCAATTTTAGTAATGGTTGCCCAGCAATGAGAGGCACTTGTGCTGCACAGGGCTTTGGATTACTTGGCATTAACCTGAGCTGCCTTTTAGCCTGTAGTGATAACCTTCAAAATATATAGGGGAGAAATAGCTTTCATAACATGTTTTTCTGCAATTTTTTAAATTGTTCTTGTCTGGAAAGTTTAGTCTTTAATGACCTAGAGATGACTCATAAATCATCTTTTATGTATATATTTATAGGTTCTGCAAACATTTTTATCCATGGCTCAGAGCAGCATAATTCCCTGACTTCTGAAATACATTTCCTGAGGAAGCAAAATCAAGTTCTGAATGCAATGCTAGCAAAAGGATCTAGAGGTAAAAATGCAAAGTGTTCTTTACAGGAGTAGCCTGCAACTCGCCCAGATCAGAAAACAATAAAATATTCACAGTCCACTCATTAAATTGACTTAACCATTCTTCCCACCCCTGAAATTCCATGCTCAACCATAAGCATTCAAGCTGGGATTAACAGTAATAGAGTAGCAGCTGTTATTTTCTGGTAGTCTCTGAAAAAGCTGATTTARTCAAAAACCAGAGCTTTAGTGGGTTGTGGGCATTGCAGATACCTTGTGTTTCTTCTTGTTTCAGATAAACAAAAGGAAAATGAAAAGTTGAGAGAATCTCTTTCTAAGAAGAATGCAATCATTGAGCATCTTCACAAAGATCATGAATGCATCAAGAAAGAAAACGAAAAGTTGCAGAAACAAATTTGCCAAAAGGAAGATGAAATCAGATACCTGACATGTCAAATTTACAGCAGTCGCAATGAATTAAACAGGTATTGATTCTGTCCACATTTAAACAGCCATTTAGAGAAGGAGATTGTCAGTGTGACAGGCACGTGTTCAGCCATAGCCATTAACATTAATGAGGGGCATGGATATATTCAAAAGGCGGGGGAAGAATTATGGAGGGAAAGAGGGATGGATTTTAGATTTTTTTTTAAAAAAATCAAAATTTAACTCAGCTCTTTTTTGGGACTTAACAGGTTGCAAACAGACATTAATGTAAAGCACCATCAGATCTCTGAGAATGAGAAGTTGCTGCAGTCACTGCGSACTGAGATCAAAGTTTATGAGAAGCTGGAAGAAGCAAGAAGGAAGGGAACAGGTACAAAAATGCACAGCTCTGTCTGTACCCTTTGCCCCTGCAACCCTCCCCTCTGAACCTGCTCTTGTCAAAGGCCCCTAGGGCTGGGTCACTGCTCCTTTGCTTCTGCTCTGCAAAGGGAACTGACACCCTGCTGCTCAAATGCTGCTTTTTATTGGGGATAACTKCAAGGCTGAGATGTGTCAGATGTTRGCTAGAYACCCCCAAGTTTTCTTTATCTTTRTRRCTAAGMTAAAAACCAGAATTGGAGACTTAGTGGCTCAGGCTGGATGAGTTTCCTGGGGATGTTATTTACTTGTCACCTAAAAACCTGCTGCTGCATCCTCCCAGGTCYTGCTTACTCAGATAACTTGTGCTTTCTCTTGGCTGAAGGTGAGGGGAGAGGCTTCTCCCTGGGGCTGGCAGAAGTGCTGGCACTGCTTTCTGAGTGAGGTGTTTAATAATTTCCTGTCCACTTTGCTGCCACTAAAGGTGAGAGGGGGATGGAGCTCACCTGAGTTCTCTTGGAGAGAAGCTGTGCCTCCACCTGGCTCTTGGTGTGCTGAGGTGAAAGAGTGAGATGCTGTTTGTTGCTGCACATCCGTTGCCACATCCAGCAAATTTCCCACTGGAAGTTCTTAGAAAGTTGATTTTTTTTTTCTCTCTGATTCTCCAAGTGTTATGCCCTGCTGCCCCTGGATTTCTTGCCTGGCTGCAGCAGAAGAGCCCTGTTGGCACAAGGCTTTAGGGCAGAGTTAGCTCAGGGTGAGAAGGATTTTCCTTGCGGAACTCCTGATGCCATTAGAGAGTAGCAGCACCCTCCTCAAGCAGCTGARCCCCTTCCCACAGCACAGAGAACAGCCTGAGCAGTTGGATTTCAGCAGGAGAGAATATATGGAATTGTTTGTGTACTGATCTCTTTCTGTGCGAAGGCAAACACAGCCCTYGCTTTTCTCAGGTTCAGATTTGTTCCTCTGGTTGCCAGGTGATCACTGTTTTCTTTTTCCTTCAGTGTTTAAAATTAAACTCCTGGTTCTGCTCCATCTCTCCTCTGCACTCCAACATTCCCCTTCCTTTTCCTTTCCCCAGACTCTGCATTACTGCACTTCACATTTTCTAAATCCTCTTCATTCTCTCTTTATCACATTATTTAGCTTTTGGCAYGAGACATAGTAGCTTTTATGGACAAAGTAAAAAACAATTTTCAGCTCTTTAAATCTTTCAAGGGTAGAAGCAATTAAGMCATGCTTTTTTGTCAAACCATAATCTTAATGCTGTTTGTAGTTAATTCTTAATATTGAGGATAACACTGRCTATAACTTACTTGCTGAGTATCCTAGAGGCTAACATTATTTTAATTGTTAAAGATGTTTGAGTGTATCTTTTGAAATTGTCTCAGATTCCAGATGTGATGCCTCGGAAGAATTCCGGAAAGATCAGAATAATCCACTGGATTTACATGAACTGTTGGTTGAAATCCAGAGCCTGCGAGTGCAGATGGAGAGGAGCATAGACACCAACAAGAGTCTGCACGAGAAATTAGAGGAGCAGCTTTCCAAAGGGAAGAGACATGAAATGGGAGCAGGGTCAGCTGTTAATATCAACTGTCTCTTGAAGCCAGGCCCTCAGCACCATGCAGGAGTGGATGGTTTGTGCTCTCTGTGCTTTTGGGGTACTTGAAAACCTGGGTCTCGTCCTTTAAAGATGCTCYTACAGCCTTAAACAACATCAGCTGTCCTCAAAAACCTCTGCTGTTAGAGCTGGGGTGTGAAGTGCACGCTGCACTGTCCTAGAACCTCCAGCTGGCACTTCCTTTGCATCCAAGGAAAGCATTTGCAGGGATCTCTCTGGGATGGGAGGGTGCCTGCAATAAATTGCCATACATTTTGCTTATCTGGGGGCTCTTTTTTCACTGCTGAGCTCTGTAGTGTTTGCTAAGGGTGAGTGTGTATTACTCAAGAATGATCAATAAGTGCACTAAATGGGCTCTGGATAAATCAGTTGTCCTCTCTTTGCCCTTGAGGAATATTTTACCTTTATTTCAATCACTCTTAAGTGAGGCTGTTTTAGCAAATGAAGGAAAGTATAATGTTTACTGCCAGGGTTAGGTTATTGTTCCAATATTGATGTACGTGGGGTGCAGAGAGCACAAGAATCTTCCTCCTTAAAATGCTCTGCACAGTAACAGCTTTCCATGCATCCAGATAAAACCACATGGAGCAGAAAGACTCCTTGGAATGTCAACAGCTCAGTTTTTCAGATCTGCTTTCCTCATAAGTGCTTAGGGAATTTGGAAGGTCTGAAGAGGAGKAATATAGAGACAGTCTTTAGTCTGGTACAGCTGCTGTCATACTTCTTGTGGCATTAATGGGAAGCTTACATTCRTTAATTGAAGTATGTTCATCAGGATGTATTTAATTTTTTTAACTATGACTTGATTTTGGGAGTTACCTAGAAGTTGGGATAAATGCTAAAGCAGGTAAATACTGGGAGATCCATGGCATGTTAGTGGAGAATTGGCTTCCCAAGTTCAAGTGTAGCATCAGCAACACAAGGAACAGAGGAGCTGGGAGGGTTTTTTTAACTATGTAATATAATGCATGTAAATATGTAATATAATGCATGTAAATATGTAATATAATGCATGTAAATATGTAATAATACAGCTTTCCTTCTCCCTTTTTTGTATGTAGAAAATCTCTGCAGCTGCCCTGCTGCCAGCAGGAACATTTGTGAGCTGCGGAAGCAGCAGAATGGATGCTGCGTTTCAGTGGGGAAACCAGGTACACCCAGACCGGCTCTTAAACAGAAGTCGATTGTAAATTATTTTTTTTGAGGATAAAAAAACAAGTGAATTTTTCTATSCCAGGTACTCAAGCAGCCCCTCAGGAGGACGTGGACAATGCCTCCCTGTGCAGCAGCACCTCAGGCTCCAGCAGGACGTGCACCCCTCGCCTGGTGCCCGGCCATCGGATGTGGGCGGACAGGAACGGGCGCCACGTCCTGGGACTCATCGAGGACTACGATGCCCTGAGGAAACACATCTCAGAGGGGCAGCAGGTGCTGGCAGACATGGAGATTTCTCTCAGGGAGCTCAGTGGGACCAAGCTGCAGGAGCCTGGAGTAAAGGTGAGCGCTGGAGTCTCGAAAGGAGGGTGGATTTTACACAGAGGCGCAAAATGTTGYCAAAGGAAGAATTGACTGAATAACTCAGGGCACCTGAAGCTTGGCACARTCATCATCTTGATGCTCTCATCGTGGTTCTCAGTTAGTTAATTCTAGTCCTTTAAGCTGTCTTTTATTTTTAACTTGAAATGAGCTAAAACTGCTTGGTTTAGTATGGGAGTTGGTGACTGTTGCACTGGAAATGGTGAAAAAAACAAACAAAAGCAGCAGCAGAAAACCCCGGGTAAAAATCTGAAATGCTTTAGAGAGGGCTTCAACTAARAGTATGTAAAAGTAACCTAAGGATAAAAATAATTGAGATTTTCATGTAATGAAGGCTTGAGATAAACCCAGGAAATATGAGACAATTAAAAGAAATGTGATACAGAGCTGATAAAGTTCTCYRCTTAGTTGAATTCAGCCTTTTAGTAACACCAGGTTATAACTGTACAGCAAAGATTGATGTATTCTAATGAGGCTTGTTTCATATTACATTCATATTTCAGGGAAGATTTTTAATATTCTTCCACTTCTGGTATCAGTTGAACATTTTAGCAATATCCTAAGCCAGTCCAGAAGCTTGAATATCTCATTAATGATCAAATAGTRTCTTCTAGGACACAGTGTATCATCCTTTCCTCTTCCTCTTAACAGTGYTAGCAACTCATGGTGCTCTTGCTGCAGTCTTAGAGATGCTTAAATCAATAAAATGTTTATTTTGTCTTGAGTAATATTAGTGCCTTTTGTCTAGAATAAGAACTAGTTAGTGTTTACTTCTGCTAATTTTCTCTTATGTAATATTAATTTTTGGACACAGTTAATGATGGCATATTTGGAGTGGTTCAAAAAGACAAATTTGCCTACAAGCTTCAATTAAAGGGAAGGAACAATCTGTGCACGTCTGTGGCATCCAATAAGGAGCTAAGAAACCTAAACCCCAACTTGAAGGGCTTGAATGAGGCACAGAAAACAACAGCCAGTGGTAAAAATAATGAACCACTGGCATGGAGGGTGCTCAGAGACMCTGACTGAAGGCAATTTTAAGAACAGATGATGCCAATGGCTGAAAAAATTCCCCATAATGCTTTCCTGCCTTGGAGAGGGAAAGGAAACTAAGTGTCTAATGAAGGTCCTTTTCACCCCTGTGATTTTATGATAATATAAATGTTGTAAAAAAACATGCGTKCTGCTCTTCAGAAAACAGAAGGTCTTAACTGCAGGGATAAATTTGTGCTACTTGTTTTTGCAGTTATAATTAGTGAAGCTGTTGAAGGTGCAGTCTGCAACAATTCTGAAATTCTTTTTGTGCTATCACATGTGTGCTCACACAGTCAAATGATGCCTGAATGACACTTAAGACTCTCTGAAGTATCATAGATTTCCCAATGACCTAGTTAACATACTGATAATGACTGAAAAAGTAATCACTCTAAGTTTTTAACTTGTTTTGTTGGTGTAAAGATAAAAGCAGTAAGTTTCACAATTTGCAGTTTCCCATCAAGCTTTACATCGCTGAAGTTTCAGACTACTTAGCAAATGGGATATTTTATGTGACAGGAGGATTCTGCTTAGATAACAATGCTAAATAAATATTCAGATTGTATCCTGCATGGGGCAGGAACTGCAAATGCTTTTCTTTCATTACCCTTCCCCCTTCTGTAGCACCATTGCTTTGGTAATTCATTTGCTCCCCTCACATTCTTTCCTTCCTTTATTTCACATTTATGCAATTCCTTCAATTTGGTTTTCTCATCTGTCAGCMGAGGAAAACATTTTATGTGTGTCCTGATAGTTATTTTAGCATTAAATGGAACAGTTTAAAGGGTCTGCTAAGGAAGAAACATCTATATTGCTTAAATTGATGTCTGTAATCATTGACTTTCAAATAACATGACACRAAATGCAAATGAAGAAAGAAGAGAGTTGCCAACTGTTACCATGTGGCACAGCAAATCTAGTAAATATAATCTATTGTTAATCATGGTTATTGATTAGGATAAATCCCCTCCCTCCCTGAAATTCTCAGATAATACATAATTCAGCAGCCTTTGTTAACTAACAAATTAGTTTTTATGGCACACAATGGCTGTGCACATTATCTTAAATATGAAATCACACCAGCTGGATTAAACCCATTAATTAAGATTACATTTTCATAATGGTTGAAGTATAAAACATAAAATGYCTCTAATCCTGTTCTACAGGTAGCAGACCAGGCATCCCTGCATGGCTTTTCCACCAGCACTCACACAGTGCAGCAGATTTTGGAGGAGGCTGCACGTTCCCTGAAGCTTCTCTGGAGAGTTTCTCTACCCCTGAAAGCTGCTCATGGTWCTGCTCAGGGCACTCAGGTACTGCTGGGCTTTGTTGCTTTGGTTGAGGGTTTGGGGTKGGTTTTTGGACTCTGGGAATGTCTCACCTGTGACAGATGTGTCATTTGGGAAAATTTTTGGAAAATCATGACTCCAGTCTTGTAACACATGCATTTAGGCTAAGACTGAGTGTGTCCTGGTCATGTTGTATGGTCAGGTGTTAATTTACAGTCTATTTTATATAAAACATGTAATCTCTAATCCTGTTACATGAGATTCAGGAGCCCCAGTCAAGTGGCAAATGTTCCACCTCAACAAGAAAAGGTTTGAGTTTCCTGTTATTTGAGCCAAATTCAGTTTTATTTTGTGTGTATTGGTAAGAAGAGAAACATCAGCAAYTTTGATGTAATCTCAGCTACATTTTCTTTTACGTTGTTGATGCCAAAGCTGTAAAAGAGGAAGCTTTTGTAAAAGTGTGACAAAACCCCAAGACAAGTTTTATAACACTTTAACTAAAAAGGGTTGCACTATGCAAATGAATGAAAGTAAGCTAAATGAGGAATGAATTATCTCTGCTGTCAGAATACCACCACTCAGCAATGAAACTGTTTCAAATTCTGGCTTTAAAATAAATCTCAGAGGTTTTTGTATGTGTTCATTAAAGGAAGCAGGATATTCCTGCAAAAAAAAAAAAACCTCAAACGTTAGGAAAACAAACATTTTATATATAATTTCATAACATTTTTCGTGTTATTTTTTAGCACCTTTAAATATATAAAATCACAAAAGCAGTAGGAGTGAAGTTTGCTGTCTGATGCACTCACTGATGTTTCAGCTCCAGATTTGGGATGTCTTGGCAAGAGAGTGTAGTTCCATTTTTATCTYGTGTGTGTGATCCATGCAGACAGCTCCACATTGGCCTGGGTTGCAGWGATTGAACAGATCTGACACTCCCAGGGTTTTCAGGAGGTGGGGACTCATCTCCTGCTTTCCTGTCACAGATCTGAACCTTGATTTGGATCAGGCACTTCTGAAAGTCTGATCTCAATGTGTGTGGGGATCTGAGYTCCCAGGATGCTCCTAATTAGAGCCTAATAGAATCTTTTCTAGGGTTTCTTATCCAACATCCCAARATCTTAAGGATATTAGATTGCTTCTGATGTCTTAAATGCAGAATATGAAAGAATGTCTCTGTCTCTTGAAGTTGGATTCTAAAACATTCTGAGTATTCAGTGCCTTCTCTGCAGCCCCACAGGGGTTGTGAGTAATCAGTTCTTCTGCAGAGAGAAMTTCTGGGGGCAAATTCCAGAAGATTTATTATTTAACAAGTTGTACAATTGGAAAAAATATCTGAGTTTAAACCTGCACAAGGGTCTGAATTAGTGACACTGGCAAATGTGCCAGGGCTACTCACAGTCCTGTTTCACAAGTCACTGACCAGAACTTGATTTGGATTGGTGGTGAAAACTGAACTTTAATAATGACACTGTTAAATAACTTCACTATTGAGCTGTCCCAGTGTCTTTTAGGCCTTTGAGAGAGGCAGCATCAACCATTAACTGGAGGAGGAAATGGAATTCTGAACCTGGCAAACAGGACACTGATCCCATGGTTTAGAAACAAAAATAGGCACCAGCGTTAAGGCTTTCCTCAGTCTTATAGAAGAATTAATTGCACTAAAATCTGGATAAAATTGTGTCAGAAGATCTCCTGTCATGGGGAATGTGAATGTGGAAGGACAGGGCTGGGTGGTCTTTCACTCCTTTAAGTTGTGGGTACTCCAAGGAAGCCCAAGGGTACTTACAAAAGTATTGAGCAATTCCCAGTGTGGAAATGACTTTTAGATAATGGTTTGATAGAATGTTTTTTTCTCTTAATTTAGGATGAAGGAATGAAAGCAGAAATATTTAGGTTACGTAAGAAACTGTCTGAGCAAGAGAAGAAGTTGCACAGCACTGTGAAACGGCTGCACTCCACAAACCAGCTGAAGGAGAACATGGAGAAAGTAATCATTGACCAGTGTGAGTTTGTGCTTTAATAATGATCCTGACTTGTTTTTGTAGTCTGTGGCTGCCTTTAAAATGGGTAACCTTTGTGTTCCCATGAGGCTCAGGCTCTTCTGGACAGATGGAGTCTCATTCCAGTGCAGAGAAATTGCCCAAAGTACAAAAGGCTGCAGGGAATATAATGAGAATTAGTTCCTGGTTTTACACAAACCACACTAATTCCTACTTGGGTTATTCCATTTTGGATACTGTTTTTTCTTTCTTAGGGCAGTTCTAGACAGAGGCATAATTATTGTTGCCATAGACCTTTTCAGTCAAAGATTTAGACATTGCTAAAATTGTGATTTTGCCTCAGTCCCACAAATGTGTATTGTGGGAAGAGTTAATTTTTGTCTTTAAAAAAAAATCCATTCTTACCTTCTCTGAAGTGGTGGAACKGAATGGCTCATCAGTCTGTGCTGGAGTGGCACTTGTGTTTTCAGTAATTAAACTAGACTGGAAAATTTTCCACACCATTCAAAGTGATAAAAATATCTATAATATTCTRTGTTGCTCAAATGATTTAAATGCAATGTAGAGTGATAAGTGTTGCTTTGCTCCATGGCCTGTAATTTTTATACCTAAGGCCCAAATCTTTTCTGCCTGGAGATTGTTGTTGTTTCCAACTTTTATAGGCTGGTGTTTGGTCACTTCTTTCAGCATTGCTRTATTAAATGTGTACAAATTCTTTGTATTAAATCACAAAWTAYSTTTTGTTCAAGTTTTAAAGCCAAATAGCTCAGTTTGGGGTTGTCATGTAAAAATCAAAGCTATTCTATTAWATCTTTCCAAATAACATCCCTGGGGTGGATTCACTGGTCCAGTTTGTCCAGTTCAGTGTCATGYCAGACACACTGGGTGATTTCAGAGCTAGGCAGGGCATAAATCAGCAKAGATTTTACCTTTAGAGCCAAAATGTTATCCCTGAGCCAGCCCATCCATCCAAAAGCAAACAGTGCCTGCTCCCCTAAATCTGCTCACTCTTCTCAGGGCAGTCAGCCTCCTCTGAACGAGGTGCTGAGAAACTGAAACCTGCATTTTCTGAAATCTCTGTAATGCAAATCTCTGCCYGGAGAGCAGCAGCTGTGCCAGCAGTGGAACAGCTTCCAAATTCTCTTCATGGGCTGAATTTAATAATTTTGATTTAGAAAAATCTAGTTTGCCAGGTGAAATGAATTTAGTAGCAGAACTCTTATGAGCAGAGAGTGCTCTGCCACACAAAAAGACCTGGATATGATTTCCTCTAAGTTTCATTGATTATGGGAATTACAGATGTTGAGTTGCCTTTGCCTTAGAAGAGCAGTTTCAGAAATGTTTCTAATTTGCATCTGTACACAAATTCCTGACCAAGCACACAGCAAAACTGGGGGATCATCTGAAGCTGCTGGATTTTATCAGGATGCTTCCACTTTGTTTGGAGATTTCTTCCCTTCTCCTTTTGCTCAGCAAGGAAGGAAAAGCAGCACAGTGGGTGACCTTGCCTGCCTTAATTCTGCACACATCCTGTTACCTGCCTGCTCCACTGAGGATATTCAGCTTCCCTCTGCTATTCAGCTGAACATTCCTAAATATATTTAGAGGCAGAGACTGGAACATTCTTGTGGCTCAGAGTCTTCTGTGTGCTTTCTCTGGCGAGAGAGCTCATTGCTTATAAACCTCGTCAGAACCTCTGAAAGTGGAACAATGCAGTGCCAAATTGCAGTAATCTGCCAAGGGTGTAATTATCTCGTGACAGCTCTACCCTTGGAGTTGTTGACTTCTTATTGTTGCAGTGAAAAATCTTTATTATGGCTAAATTGTTTATTTTGGAGACCGGAATATGGAATTGGTGCTGGTGAGCGCTGCATTTCAGCAGTTGGGAGCTGACACAGATTAGAGGCTCACATATTGAACCTGGCATTTCTAAATACTGCTTTTGTCTGGAAACACCTCCTCCTCCCTTCATAGGCCTCCTGCTGGCCCCACAGAGACAGACTTGGCTGGGTGAATGGAGAAAACATGGAACCCTTCCGAGCAGCCCAGGGTTTTTAAATCCCCCATGGAACAGAGAGGTTGCTTTGTCCTCGAATTGCTGGGGGATCTGGCTGACTCTTTTTTTGCAATCTGTCYTCTTCTCCCTCTCCCACCTGCCCTCCCCAGCCCAAGTGGGATACTTGTAGGATCAAACTGGGGTTAGATCATGCATCTTCTCCCCTTAACAGCAAATCTTCCTGTGTGACTTGGTGCAGGCAGTGAGCATGGCAGGGGCTGTGAATGCCCGGGGTGGGACATACAGTGCTGAGCTTTGCCTGTTTCACGGGGCAGAAAAGCTTTAAAAGCACTTCCAGGATGTTTAGGTTTGAAAAGCAGATTGTGGAATACAGGCCAGGAGCAGGAAATGCCATTCCAGGGGTGGCAGAGCTCTGGACCTGCAGTCCTGAGGGAATCCTCCTGCTCAGACATTATTTCATATTTGCTCATAAGACAAATACAGGGAATTTAGACAGGCTTCCAGTATTCTTTTTAATCTCCTCTTTCTTTCCAGTGGTTTTAACTCATGATGTCTTGAAGAAGGCCAGRGGAAACCTGGAAGTAAGTAGAGTTTTTGCTTGTTTGAATTCCTTGGTCTGTGGCAGTCAGAAACACACMGTGCTGTGTCAGGAGTATTTTGCAGAATTAGTCAGATTTGCTTCAGGTTTGCCACCTAATCAGGTCGGGGTGACAGCAGTTTAGTGTGATAAATAGCCTGCTGTGTTTGATGGCTGAATTAAGAGTTTTATGACTGACCACATAAGCAGCTAAAGCCTCTCCTTGCTGATGCTTTCCCTAGATTAATATTCATGTCTGTCATCATCTTGCAGCAGTTCATTTCCAGGGGATCACAGCCTGATAACCCGCCTGCTGCTCACACAGACCCCCTCATTTAAAGCTGGAGCCTGTCTTGGTCACTGGTGTACTTTCATTTTTTAACCCTGGAGCCACCAGGGGAGGCTTTTGGCAGCAGCTCAGTGCTGGTGCAGGGTGTTCAGTCCCTGGGAGTGTTGAAGTGATCCCTGCTCAGACTTGATTTCCCCCACAAGGTTCACACTTTACCCCAGAAGGATGCAATGCATTCCTCAACTCCTAAATCCATCCATCTCCTCTCACCTCTCCACTCTGAACCACTGTACAATTCCCAGCCCCTCCTTAAATTTCCCTCTAACCTTTTCCATGAATCCCTTCTCCCTCATCCCCCTCAGCATCAGCACTTCCSTCTGCAGCTGCTGTGCTGCTCTCARCCCTACCTGAGCTGCAAAGTGATGACATGAAACAATCTTTCTGCTTACAGAAGTCTTATCACTTTAATTTGAAGATCTGCTGAGCTCTTATTTGCAAATCCTGCTGCAGCAGGATGGGGTAGGGACAAATTGTGGGYATTGAAGGGCTGTACAGTAATAATAATTACTGCTTTTCTAACCAGGTTCCACCAGCTGAGAATCAAAAATCACCTTCCTACACCAGCAAAAAGAGGATTCTGTGAAGGAGAAAGTTCTGCTAACAGAGTCTGGTCCTGTGAGTGCTGTTTGCTTTGTGCTGCCTTACTATTTATTGATGTAAAAAAATGTTTGTTCAGCTCTTTTAATGGAATCAGCCTTTGACCAAAAAAAAAAAAGGACAAAAAAAGACACCTTTTGGTAAATAACTTATTTAACATTTTCTGTAATGTAAAGATGGTTTTTAATATTTATTACAGAAGCAAGGTACTGCAGGTATTGAGGAAAAATGYAGATTTTTTTAAAGCTGGCACATTTGAAATTTTATATTTGTACTTGTCATGTTATAAAACTATTTGTTGTTGTAGTCAAACAGGTCCTGAAAGAATCAAGAATGTGATTTAGCTTCCACTGTTTCTCTCCTGCTAAAAGAATGTAGGTTAAAAAAAAAAAGACATACTGCCAGTTGTCATTGTTTTGTAGCAATGTGAAAAATGTTCAATATTTCAAAGCATTTTAACCATCTCTGGAAGGGTTCTTCTGGAAGCTGCCTGATGCTGGGCTTTGTGTTAGGTACTTAGAATGATGCTGTGTCTGAAAATGTTACTTAGAATCAGACAATTAAAATGAAAAATAATCACGGATGCRTTTGTGTTGTTTTGTTTAAATCCTCTGACCTGGGCCTTTACTGACCAGAGCAGCCACATCAGATCATTGATTTCCTGAGTGACACAAAGTGAACTGTGAAAATAGTTCAGTTTAACACTAACAAGACCATCATTTGAAGTGATTTTTGGTTACAAAGCAGATTTGGTGGTGCAAGCACGGCTTTATTGAACTGATTTCACACAGAACACGATGTTTTGTCCCCCTCACGCTGGTGATGTCCCCATTGTGCAGCACCATTTGCCCTTGGCAGCTGAGCACTGGGGCTGGARATCTTCACACAGCATTGGGGTTGTGTTGGTCCTGCATTTTGCCCTTTTGTAATGGGCTCCCACAAAAATCTGAGTATGTGCTCCAAGGTGCGGCTGTGGGGGAGAGCTGGAACATCCCCTTGGAACTGGGGCTGTTCCTGCACAGCACAGGGGGCTGCAGGTGCACACAGGGGAACCTTAAACCCATCCCATCCCATCATCCCATCCCATCCCATCATCCCATCCCATCCCACCCTGCCATGGCAGGGACACCTCCCACTGTCCCAGGCTGCTCCCAGCCCCAATGTCCAGCCTGGCCTTGGGCACTGCCAGGGATCCAGGGGCAGCCACAGCTTCTCTGGGCACCCTGTGCCAGGGCCTCTCCACCCTCCCAGGGAATGAATTATTCTTAATATCCAATCTAAACCCCTTCTCTGCGAGTTTAAAGCCATTCCCCCTTGTCCTGTCACTGCAGTCCCTTTCCTGTAGCTCTCTTCAGGTTCTGGAAAGCCACAGTGATGCCACCCCTGAACCTTCTGTTCTCCAGCTGAACAATCCCAATTCTCCCTACCTTTTCTCATGGATTTTCTGACCCTCAGTGCTGGGAATGGACTCTCTCATTCCTTCCTTCCACCTCTGTAATTGTGGGTTTTTATTAGAGAAAGGCAACCTCAAACCCTGTGCTCCCAGGGTGCCCCTTCGCTGGTCCCTGCTGTGTCCTGGTTTTAATTTCCCAGCATGGATCTTGTCTGAAATACACGAATGGATTTAGGGGAGGGTCTCACAGCCTTCCTGGAGGTTTTTTGTGCCCTGGATATCCCAAGCTGCAGCGGGTCCCGGAGTTTTCCTGGAATTCCCTCGGGCACATCCCRGAGAGTCTCAGCCCGGAGCTGCTCTCGGCTGCCAGCAGGAGGAGCCAGACCCATTCCTGTGGATCCGGGAAAAAACGGGAAAAGTTAAAAATAAACTCGGCCAATTGGAAAAAAAAACAAAACGGGGGGAGGTAAGAGAAGAGCGAGCAGTCAAACTTGTTCTTCAGTCTCTTCACACATTATTGTCCTCACAGCTCACTAAAAACGTCAAGTTAATTTTACTAAGTAGCTAAATTATAGACACTCAGATGTAATCAGAATCCGCTATACATTTCAACTTTCAGAATTAATCATCCTACGTTTGTGAGCTGTAACACCTGAAGGAAACAGCTGTACAGCTATATATAGCATTCCCGTGCCTCTTGGTCTTCTCGCAGCCTTTTTCTCCCCCCACACCATCTGTACTTCAAAATAAATAAATAACCAGGTTAAATGTTTCCCTTTCCTGAGATGATTTGCCACTTATTTCTTAATGGTCCCTGCTGTGCCCTCTCAGAGATCTTCTCCTGACCCCTTTTTTAATTCTGATGGGCTCTGATTGCTGCACCCAGTTTGCACCTGGGCAGGTCTCACCATGGAAATTGGCTTAACTRGGAAAAAAAATATGTAGGATATCATTACCTCTTTAAAAACAGATGATCCTACAAGATCAAAGTATTTTATCTTAATGAGAAGTGCCTCTTAACCACACACAATTTACTGGGCTGGTTTAAAAATAATTAGAAAAAAAAAAAATCTGGGAAAAAAAGCTCACCAGATGGAGGCTGCGGAAGACAAAGCTTACGGAGTGCTAAACTTTGTTCCCATTAAACAAAATTAAATTTTCSTTTAAAAATAATTATGCAGGAGAAAAATAAGCAGCATAAGCAAATGGAATTATAGGAGGGGCTCATTTGCTTAGTGAGTTGCTGCCTGTGCCTTCATTATGTGGGCAAGGTGATTGGAAACATTGCTGAGAGAGTGGTTCAGGGAGGAGCACTGGGGGGAGTGGGGACACTGCTGTCATTACCTGTGACCTTGAACCTCCTGCTTATTCCCCGGGCTCACAGGCACTGAACAGGCTCAGCTCCCTCTCAGA